ACAATGCTATATTCTTCTGTTGTATAATTTTAAGTGCCAGCATTATTTTCTATTACATGTGAACATCAAAGGTATTTAACTTACCTCTTATTTTTTGGGCATTTAAATTGGTTCTAGTAGTTTGTAACTACATTTTTTTTACCATACTTGTGATTGGAGGAAGGACTGTCTTTGACATGAAGATTTGTCTTCTTTTGTTTTATATTATTTCTGATTTTGTATTTATCTTCTGTTTTCCCTAGTTAATGACTTCAAAAACTTTTCATATGTTGATGACTGTTGATTCTGTCACAGGCATCACAAATTTAGCTTATTCTGACATGGGCTCTTATTTTCTTTCCCCTTTTAATTGTTCCTCTCTGACTTTATTATTACTTTTAATGCCATCATAGTTTACCCAGATATTCAGCCAGGAATATGGAATTTATGTTTATCTTTTCCTCTCCATCAGTGTTCTATCTCCTAGACTCTTCTCATGCAATATTTTTTATTCTTCCTGCCCCTGAAATATATCTTAAATCCACTGATTTTTTTCTGTGTCTCTTGCCACTGACCTAGTTTGAGCTATCATCAACATGCCTGGACTCTTGCAGTGTCCATAACAGTTCTCTTTTTCTCTTGTCTCTTTTTAGTTTATTCTTTGCATATAATTGCAAATGCAGTGGGAAGCCCTGTGAATTTTAAATAGAAGGATGACATGATACAATTTGTTACTTTAAAATGACCATTCTGCAAGATGTGCAAAGAATGTTCTTTACCATGACTTACAAAGACTGGCATGATCTGGCCTCTGACAATCTCTATAATTTTATTTCATGTCTCTTTTCACCATGCTTCAGTTGTATGGTCTACATCAGGTTTTTTCCTCTGTATGTCTGTAACTGTTTAGTTATCTTGCCTACTGTTCTTAAGTCCAAAGGAGGTTGGATTATATAGTTTTCATTTACTCATTTATACTCCATACCTAGCATAATACCTTATATATAGAGGCACTCACTATATAAAAAACAAGTAGTATCATTCTTTTAACTCTTTTGTTAAGAAATTTAATGTTCAGGCTCTGTTTAGGTTTTATGAAAACATACAAAGGGTTTTATAGTACATATTTTCTACCCTAAAATAGACACGACTTTAAAAGGAGATATAGGAGAAGAAACAAATATTATCATAGCAAGGGAGACAGCAATTTAAGTGGAGTAGTTTATCATCTGGGTGACCTCAGATAAGTTATGCCTCCTCTCTATTTCTTTATTTAGTCAGCTATTAAGTAATTTGACTGAATTTTCTCAAGGCTTTGATTCTTAAATAAGATGTGCAACTAATAGTTCACTGGTTAAATTGTTTTTTCCCCCAGCTTCTGTTTCTGGATTCAGGAGTTCTGGGTAGGTCTTGGAATTCCCTAGGTGATTATAATGTACAACTATGTTTAGGAACAATTGATCTAGGTCATTTTAAGTTTGTCATCTTAAAATTATAATCATAGGATAAGGCAGTCTATGAAAGTGCAGAAAGAGTCTTATGGCATTGTATTAATTCAGAGTCAGGAAAAATATTTTCTTGCTTGGGTTATGGGAGTTGGGCTTAATACAAGATGATGTTGAAATGGACTTTCAAAAATGCTTAGAAATATGGGGGAAGTTAGTTGCATGGTTGGTGTTTAGTCCAACTTAGTTGGAGGCCAGAACATATGCACATAGCAGGAACAAAAAACTTACTTGTTTTGATGCAATGGACCATAGTTCTAGTTTTGTTTTATGAGAACATACAAAGGGTTTATAGTACATACTTTACCTGCCAAACTTATTTCCCTTTTAGAGACTAAAGATTCTATTATTGCAGCTTGATCATTTGGAGGAATGACACACGTGATCAGGTAGTGACAGACATCATGAAGGTGCTTTGGACAATATTTGAGCATATTTTTCCTCAAATCTTTTCGGGCTGTTCTTTTTGAGATCCACTTTGACCACCCCGTTGGTTTTCTGGTTAGAAACAAAAAATATCAGGACACACTCTGTTATCTAAAATAATAGTTTTGCTGTCAGAATGATTATTATTAAACCAGAGATGGCTTTTTTTTGTTTAGATGAAACCATATAAAGGCAACATTCTGAGTAAATTATATAGCGTCCACTTGATGAAATAATGAGCCTAAGTGTAGGGGATGAAAGTAATGATCCAATGCAATATTTAGAATGGATATACAGTATATAGTTATTAACCTAAAAGTCACATCCTGCATTCTTTTAATTTGTGGAAAATTTGTCATTAATTGCCCAGGAAACCTCTGATTTTTCATACACAATCATGTCATAGCTATTGACTTTCTCCCCCTTCTCCTGCCTTAAAATAAATCCTTGTAAATAGTGGATTACTTTCAGATTTATAATGCCTCCTTTAAATATTGAGTTACTAAGTTTAGCCCTGTTGCTTTCTTTTTGTAAACAGAGTTCATTTTCCCCCTTAACTTTGCCTTTGAGTAGTTACTGACAAATCACACTTTGTTTTTTCAGTGGCAATGAGCTTAAAATCTTATTTAATCTTCTGCCAAGCGGTAGCCCTGCTGATTCTGAATTGCTTTTTGTTTTCATTAATTACCACTGCATGGAGGAAGTAGATATGGTCTTCCACTTATCAATAATTTCTGAGATAGGTTCTGACCCTTCATTTAAATTCACTCTAAGTGGGTCAGGGTCAAAAATTGAAAGAATAAGGTAGTGGGTAAGAGATGGGGCAGCCAGGTTGATAACTAGCTTAGAACCCAGCCCTTGCCAATTCCAGGCAAATATCTCAGGTTGTTGTAGGATTTATAGACAAACTTGTGATCATCCAGCTGATCTGTTACCTTATGCAGGCCTTGCTAATGTTGTTCTATTGACCACCAGTTGACTTTGAAGTAGAGAAGTAGAAATAACAAGCCTCTTGTGATTAATTGCTTGCAAGGAATTACCTTTATTAATTTGAATTATTAGCCTCCAGTTGCATCCAAACTCCTTAAAGGGTGACTTTCATTAGGATTTATTTGAAGGAAAAAAACAGCCACAACATAACTACATCAAAGCTAGATCAAAGAAGTGCCTCTCTTATAGAATTCAGACTTGATAAAATTTCCCCAAATTCAGGAAGAGGCACTTTGAGGAAGTGATTTGATTGCATTCCTTCTGTATTTTTATCTTCCATACTGTTAGGATGAATAATAGAATCAGAAGCATAGACCTTGGAAGCAAATTTAAGATCATGTACTATTTTGCAAATTGTGATCATTGTTCATGCTCCCTGTATGATGTTGCAGGCTTGACTCTGATTCATCCAAAGCACTTTGGAAATTACCTGCTTATGTATTAGGATTTCATGTGTTATTTGATTTTATGTAAGAGTTTTGATTTTTTTTGAAGTTTAAAAACAATCAGTTTAGTTTAAATGTCCAAGACTTTACAGAGAATGTATTTGAAGGTCAAATAAGTTAAATTATATACCTGCAGTCACGAAAACTACTTAGAGGTTGACAGAAATTAGAAGTCATGAATCTGGACTTCTCATCCAGGGCATTTTTAACTACAAAATGTTGATTTTATTTTCCATTTTGAAAGACACAGAAGTGATCTGTGAAATGGTGATTAGCACTAGGCAGCCCTAGGCAGCCCTGGAGTGCTCCATGGTTCAAATGCCCAAGACCAGATGGAAGTCCAGAAGTGGATGACTCAAAGTTTATTAGTTTTGCCACCTGGGCAGTACAGCTGAACCAGCTGCCACAAGGCAGTTCCAATTTCAACAGAGCAGTAAGTGAATGTAAAAATGCACATAAAGCTCAAGAATAAAGTAAAGGAGAATAGCTGTTCCAGCAAGGAGATTCATCCAGGGTGAGTCCTATTGATATTTCTTGTAGGAGGTGCAGCTACCATGCCAGGTAGAGGACAAGAAAAGGTTATGGCACTAAGCCCTAAAAAAAAAAAAAAAAAAAAAAAAAAAAAATCAACCCTTGAGTCATTCCAGGATGTAGTCTCAATGTTTGAATTGATGTATTTGTAGGCTTCTAGTCACATCTGATGATCTAGATAGGGAAAAAACAAGTCAATGCAATATCATGGTTATGTCATGAAGCCAGAAGCATCTCTCCCACCCCCACCCCGGAAAATATGGGAAACCATTTGATCAACTCTTTTACATATTTCTGGTCCCTGCAGGTACAGGTATTCATTGGAACCCAAAACCCCAAATTCACATCCTTATGCTATCCTCATAGATAATTGAAGTATTGTAGGATTTCAAGATCTGTTCATGAAATACTGCAAGATTCAGAAGTGAACCCTGAGGTTTTAGATGATTTCTTTAGTAGATTCTGGTGCTCACAAAGAGAAATGAGTATAATAATGAGGGTATGGGGGTTAGGGCCAAGTTGGGAGTGGTATAGAAATTTTTGTTTAAATGAGGATGGTTCACTAGTATATTTGAAAAATATCAAAAAATCTTGCTACTCTGTGTCAGGATTCTTGGGCAACATGTAACAGAAAACCCAACTAAACTGACTTAAACCAAATTCAAGCTTACTAGTATTATTTTTTATGTATGAGAAGTTTAGAAGAATGTAGCTTCTGACTTTGGTTCATCTTCCCAGTAATGGTTTTCATGTGTTGTCTTGGTTAAAAGTGAAAGGATACAGGTGGAGAGGAGAAAAGCATGTACTCATGGCCCATGTGTTTTGTTATGGCTTTGATGCTCAGGGCTGGACTGAAGATCCAAATGCTTGGTCACCTTCTGTCTTCAGATTATCTTTTCAGGAGATGAATGTTTATGTGTTTATATTTCTCAGTTGACTATTATTTAGTCTCAAGCAATAACATCACACTGTGTATAAATGCCTGTATATTTTCTAACTGGTTAGACAGTTTTTTTCTTCTATAATGACACGATGTGAAATAACTTTCATATAATATTCTGTTCATGAATATGGATAAACTTAACTGTTTTTATTTTTCTTTAATTTTTTTTTTTTCTGGCAGGTGGCATGTTTGACCCAGGTAGCTGTTAATTATCTCATTGACCAAAAGGAAGCAAAACGTTGGGGCACTGCTCATGGCAGTATTGTTCCTTACCAGGTAAAAATACATCAGTTTAGCCTATTTCTATAATCTGAAGTTTTGTGTGATATGAATTTGAGAAATGATTTCTTTTTACACCCTGGAGGGTATTTTGTAATGTATTTCTGTCTGATTATAACAAGGTTCTGTTGTTCACTTTAAGTTCTGTGTTTTGTATATTTCTTCATCAGAAGATTAGTAACAGGACACTTAAATGGATTAAAGGAATTTGCTGAAAGTGAGTGACTTTTGGGCTCACATGATGGTTTGCTTTTTTTTTTTTAATCCAAAAGGAGCTTTGACTATAGCCATTTTATAAAGCAAGATTTGTTACCATGTCATTTACAAAACAAATGTTACTTTCCCCATCTGATGATAATATTCTCACAGGATTGGAGTGAAATGAAAGTTTGCCTCTGACTGATCTTAATTTTTGGGCAATGCAGATGGCTTAGGAGCTGCTCTTTTTCAATAAGTGTCTGAACTTATCTTTAGAAATTCTGGACTTTGGTTAGTATGAATTCTGGACTTTGGCTAGTGAAGAAACTGTGATCTTTCAAAAGTATAAATAAAAACAAAAACATTTCCTCTTCTTTCAAACCCCTAACCTGTGCTTAGTACAGTTGCATCACATTTCATTGAATTTATTAATATATCTCTTGTTTTTTATACTATATTGTAAACTTCAGAAGGGGATATCTTTTTTATAATCATATCTTTTTTTCACAACCAATATAAGCACAGACTAGGCACATGTAAATTTCTGCTGAAAGAAGGAGTGAATTTTACTTAAGGTATTTCAATATTAGTGCTCTTGATAGAAAACATAAAGGTCACCATTTTTAATTTTCCAGCAAATCCAAGAATACTGCTAATAATCCTGTTAATTTTAAGAAATTGTTTCCCTGGGTAAAACTGTTTTTTTTTTTTTTTTTTACACTTTTTAAAAATCCAAATTTGAGAAAGCAGTGATCCAATGTGTACCCAGGTTTCTTCCCTCTCTGTTTATGGTCCTTTTATTCCTGAGGCATTCCTATGATTTCACCATAGAAGTGCTTTTCAACACATTAAGTAAGCACTGGAACTTACTCATGTAATTTCAATAAAGGAGATGCTTCCTTCAGTGCCTCCTCTCTTTTTTCCATCAGTGGTTTCATGATCATCTTAGGGACATTTTGTTTCCCTACTTGCTAGCCCTTTATGACTGATTATGGACTTCTAGCCAGAGCTACCTTACTTTATGAAAGTCCTTGCATTTTTAAAATCTCGTTAGAGATCATCAAATTAAGCCTTCTTATTTTTAAGATAAGAGATATGATACCTAGATTGAATAGATGAACTCCAGCTCTGGTTTTCTGCCTTCTTGTTGAGAATTCTTTTAGAACCTGCTATCATTGAGAGGAGATTGCTGTGATCTCAGTTCCCTTCCTCAAATTCACCTCTATAGCCTCATAATCCAATTTGCTCCTAGCTCAGAAGTCTTATTAAATAAATTATAGTCATGATTAATAATGGAAATCCTTCTCAAGGGCATTTTAACACTGAATAATGCTGGAATCTATGTGAATTCTTGTCAAATAATGGAAGTTCGGGCTTTAGACTTTGATGGAGAAAGTTTTTCTGAGGTAAAAGTATTTGTAATATAATTCTGAACATCCTAAAGGCAGAAGTAGAAATTTTATTTTTTTGGTTTATTTTTAAGACAGGGTATTTCTTTAAAAAATTTCTGTAGACATCAACTGCCCCTCCTAGACATTCCACATAGAATTCTGGCATCTTGAATATACTCTCAATTATTTCACTGTGAGATAAAAAGAAATTTAGACTCTTTGGCTTTTATTTTGTAAGGTCAAAGATATGAAAGACTCAGTGTGTGTGTGTGTGTGTGTGTGTGTGTGTGTGTGTATGATATGTTGATATGTGTTATATATTACATATGTATATATATGCATAATGTATATGTATGAATGTGTATACATGTGTGTATGTGTTCTTCAAAGATGGAAATGTGCTTTTCCTGTTGAATTGTCCCAGTGATATTAAATGGTACTGTGATTATTTGATCATAGTTGATTGCATCTTTATTATCTGTACGAAATAAGAGACCTACTAGGGTCTTTCCTCAGGAGCCCAGAATTAATTTGTTTCCTCTTGGTAGAGAACTGATTTAGCCTATGATTAAGGAATAAATGCAAATTTAGGTTGAATGAAGCTAGCATAGCAAGATATTTCCTAGATATGCTTAGAGATCTTAGTCTGTTTTCAATTTTTAAATAGATTTGAGGAATATTTTCATGGGTGATTGCCAAGAAAATTATAATCCAGTTTTCTATAATAATTACAGCTTTGCATGTAATTTGAATTGTCTGAGTTTTGAGCAGAGTGTCTATACTGGAAGACCCCAGTGGTCTCAGATGCTAGGTAAGGTGCCCAGCTCATTTTTCTCTCAGTCATTGTTAACCCTTTCTGGAAAATCATAGACCTTGAGATACATGAAATGGATTTTTATGAAAAGTAATGATCCTTGATTTGTGTGTTATTTCATAAACATGAAATGCTTAGCTTCTTAGATGGATTATCCATTGAGCTTTGTCCCTCTCTATTCTCTGGTTGCCAACTTTTTAAGAATGAGCAATTTAAACAAAAGTAGATATAATTGAGAGGGCAATTTTCTGTTTGTTGAACAATTAATATATTTTTGGATGCTTTTATGAGAATTCAGATTTTTAAAAAGAATATTTTGATTTCATTGATGCTTTTTTTTGCATTACTATTGCCCCAGAGAAACACCTAGCCTAAGGAATTAAGAATTATGTAATGTTCAGAGTATATTTTTAACGCATTGGTATGTTTTCCAGTCCCTTAAACAAGTATTTTTGTAAGAACAAGAGAGTTTTTGAGATGAAAAAGAAGTGTGCATAGAAAGAAGATAGCTAGTCCTCAAAAATAAGGCAGCTGTCCTTTAGATAGGTGACTGACATTATTCTTCAAAGTTCTCTTCCATTTCTTAAAAAAATCTTCCTAGGAGCCTACATTTGAATGTCCCCCTCTGCTTGTGACCAGGGCTGATCTCCAACTCTCTCCAATATCAACAAGGTTCCATTTAAAATATACTCATGTTAACAGGAGACTATACTGAACATTTTGAAGAAAAGCAGAGGGTTTTAAAAAATATTTATTTTTTAGGTGTAGATAGATTACAACACAATGCCTTTATTTTTATGTGGTGCTGAGGATCAAACCCGGGTCCTACCTGTGTTAGGCGAGTGCTCTACTCCTGAGCCACAATCCCAGCCCAAGCAGAGGGTTTTTATTAGAGGAGAAACTTACCCAATATCAGAACAGGAGGCCTCACATTTCTAATCATATCCTTTAGCTGCTACCAGGAAGTTTTACTGTCTTGTATTCCCCATCTTCTATTCCTTTCTCCCTTATGAGAGTCCTTGTCTCTTTTCTTTTCAAGAAAAACAGACCCCTCTAGGGCTGGGGTTATAGCTCAGTGGTAGAGTGCTTGCCTAGCACATGTGAGGCACTGGGTTCAATCCTCAGCATCATATAAAGGTAAATAAATAAAGTAAAACTATTGTGTCCCTCTACAACTTATATATATAAACCCTAGACCCCTCTCGTCTTATATGGAGTTATGACACTCTCTAGTACAAACATAGATTTTTGGGTAGTTATCCTAAATCTAAGCAATTAATAATTTTTTGTATAAAGACAATTCGTTGCCAAGGGCATGCTGATGTGTGGATCTGAAAGAAGTTTACCATTTCCCCCTCAGTTACTCTACATGCGCAGACTCATGTGCTCCTAGTACAACCACAGCTCTTTCCACTACAGTGTTGCCTCATGATCAGGACAAATTGCCCAAGAGACCAATCCTGCAATGAGGCTACAACCACAACTATCTCCTTCTCTTAAAAGACTACCAGAACTAATCACATAATTTTTGCTTTTCCACTCTACTTCTTTTCTTTTGTCTTCTCTTTCTTGTTCCTCCTTCCCTCCCTCTTTGTCTCTTTTTTTCTCTCTCTATGTAACCCAGGCTGGCCTACAATTCCTGGGCTCCAGTGATTCTTTGCCCTCAGTCTCCAGAGTAGCTGGGACTTTAGGCAAGTGCTACCATGCCCAGCAGTCCCATTATTCTTTCATATTAATTTGCTTTAATCACCAGGACTACAAGCCTCACAGGCTGTTTGTTGTCACCTGGACAATTTCTTATATGCCTGTTTCTTTGACTCAGTCATTCCTCCTGCCATCAATTTTGATGGCTGTAAAATCTACCTAGAGGAGTCATGTAAAGTCTGATTTCTCACTTCTTTAACCTGTCCTCTCTCTTAATGATTTTTTTTCTATTCTCACTTGGCTCCAACTCATGTATTTCTCAAGTTTCAAAGTGCATGTGGATCATTTAGAGGTCTTATTACAATACAGATTCTGATTTGAGGCAATGTTGATGCTGCACCATGAGCACCAAGATTACAGATATACACTTCATTGTTATTAATGATGACACCATTCCTTTGTACTCAACTGGCAAAATCACAGTGCTGATTAGACTTAATACTTTATCTATTCCATGCCTGCACCCAAACATTGTATATGGCCAGAAAACACACTACTGTGCTGTGTGCCTCGAATCTATGGCCATCTCTCTGAAGTGGACCCCAGTCTTACCCAGCATACTTACCACATTAATCTACATAATTTGTTCTCGCCCTCTCTGAGATGACTACTTCTTATCTTCTCTCTCCTCTGATCTTCTCCATCTGTCTGTTTATTTTTAACTAGACTTTTTCTTTTATTTCATTAACAAGTTGTGCAGTCAGAATGGAACTACTTCATCTTTTCTCTACTATACCTCCCAAACCCCTACCTTTATATGCACATATAATTCACTGAATTTGCTCCTGTCATGATGGTTGGATTGTCCCTTTACATATTTTGTGTATCTAAAGACATCATTCTTACACTTTATCTCCTCTATCACCTGTGTTACCTACAGTGGATAAGCA